TTAAGGGAAGTTTGGGTTTATGAGTCATTTATAGTCGGGTACATAGGGATTTAATTGAATGGAGCCTGGTCCCAATTTGGAAAGCTGACGGGGGGGCTCCGACCAAGTAGCAGAGCGAGAAAATACACGTTTTAGACATTTTTTGAAAGTTCAGGTTTTTTGACATGGGGTTGTGTGAGGTAGTCATATATAGTTGGTATTATACAGTGCCACAGGACAGTGCTGTTTTCACAGGGAGATAAACCGCTGAAAATACTCTACATGAAGCGTACATTTAAATGGATATTGGATTGTTCCGGTGGGTGTTTTTCAAAAATGTCTAAAACGTGTATTTTCTCGCTCTGCTACTTGGTCGGAGCCCCCCGGTCAGCTTTCCAAATTGGGACCAGGCTCATCATAATCTATGTACCGACTATAAATGACTATAAAACCCAAACTATCCCTTTAAACACATCTGTGGAATGTATTTTACATCTTTTGTAGAATGAGTGTAAACAGAGTTGATATTTAAACTGTGTCCTCTTGAGGTGCTGCTAACACCTACGCTCCTGAAGTACCCGCCAACTTCCGCTTTTAGTCAGAACACGCCAGAAGGATTTTGGTGTCCATGGCAACATCTTACTTCCTGTCTCTTGTAGAAGTTCATATATGATATTAAATGGAGCATTATTAGAAAGGCTTTGTTGAAAGTCAAAGTTCCTCAAAGTCAATGTTAGCGATTTGTTGTTGGCGCTATTTTTATTGCTTGGATCAGCATGGCAACCAGCTGGTGCAATCGTCGCTCCCAATCACAGTAACGTGACGTCACCGCAGTCGTCGTATGAACACGGAAGTTGACTGATCAGTCCCGAACATTCCCTGGGATCCCTCATTGAACGTTGCATCATCGTCGTTTTCACTTGGAAGAAGAAGATTAAAATTGGATTTCGTGGCTGTTATTTTTCCAGGAAGATGAAAGTGTTCGGATGTCTCCTGGCCCTTTTGTTCGGTAAATTATAACCTTCGTGACAGATGTGTCTGCAGCTGCAGCATGAGCTGAAATCTCTGTAGCGGCATTCACTGTCAAGGAAAGCGCCGTCTTTTTTTCAGGACTTCAAGCTTGTAACCAGCCGTGCATTTGCCCGACTAACACTCTCTCCTCACGATTTAAGTGTTTTCTCCTGTATAAATCAAAATACTGTTTGGAAAAGCTTCAAATAAACCATAAACGGCCCCTTCGCAGTTCGAGTATGCTCGTAAACTACAAAATTTATCTGTAAAGGCTTTATTGGAAATGTTTTGAAACCGAATTTCTAGGTTTTACAGAACCGCGAAGACTAACTAGTGACTTTGGTTTATGTGGTTGTGGGTAAACGGTCTGTCGACGGTACAGAGCAGCTCCTGCTAGCTTGCCTGCATGACTCATTCAGTAGACAGCCAGCAGCCGCCCCGGTGCCAGGTGTTTCTACCCCATTTATGTCAATGAATGTAGGCTAAATTACAGAAAATACAGTTGAATCTACAACTGTCTAAAACTGTTTTAATACAAACTGATTATAACCTTCATGCAGGAGGATTTACTGCAGGACTGTTGTATTACACTGCATCAGTCTTACCTACATGTTCCTAATAAACGGAACACAGAGTATATTAGTCATTATCAGTCATATGCTGCAGTAGTTTCAGCAGCTAGAGTTTACGTTGTTTTGTTATGTCGCCTTTAAATGTTTAGGTGCTCGTGTAAAGCTGTGTTCACATGTCAACAGCAAAAAACAAGGCACTTCTGCTGACGTCACAGCAACTTTCCCTCAAGTTACTCATGAGTAAAACCGTAAATATCATCAGCTGCCGCACCTGCTCCATTGTGATTTTTTGGGAGGTGCCAAATATCTGCAGAGAAAAACAGCTCAGACAGAAGCTGATTAAGGTGGCAGATCTTGTTTCTATGTATTCTAACAAAAACACGGGTAGGTCAGTCTATAAAACCTGTACGATAACTGAAGGCGAGAAAGCATGTGTATAATTTCCATATGTGTTTTCATGAGAGCCAGAGGTGGAAAACACTCTAGTGAAACCAAAGGAGTCAATTCCTCGCTGACGCAGACATTTGCCCCACGGTAAAACACCACCAGGGGTTGTGTTGGTGGGAGCGTGTTGCGTCATGCACCTGTGAGACGATGATACACGGTTGGGGAAGTCCAGCTGAGGAACTGGTTTATGTGTTTAAACACAGGGAACTGTTCTAGCATTCATCCTGATGATCTAAACATTAAAGGCATTAATGCAGCATTCACCAGGAATGCATGTTAGCATGTATATTATTATATATTGCTTATTATTTCAACTTTTTTCACATTGCATTGGTAAAAAAAAACTCCTTATGATCCCCACTGGTTTTTATTAACATGTTTGATATAGTACCTGTACAACAGCAGCTCTCTGACCACGCTCTCCTCTGTTTCCATTTCAGTTTTCCAACATGCTGCAGCTGTGGAGGTCAATGCAGGGGCGAAGTCTGTCGTGCTGCCCTGCTCTGTCAAACTGGAGGATCTGAAGGATTTGTCGGTGGTGTGGCGTCGTGAAGATCTCAATCCCTCAATCATCCACTTTAAGGAGCAGGGACGCAATGAGAAGGAAAAGCAGAACCAGAATTACAGAGGCCGTACATCAGTGAGCGATCCACTGCAGCAGAACGGACTCGCCAGCCTCACTCTGTCTGAACCACGTCTCAACGACAGCGGCACCTACACCTGCATCATCCGCAGACATGGAGTGGAACTGCACCGGACAGAAGTACCGCTGCTAGTCATAGGTAAGGAGCAAAACCCTAACACCTCGACTGTTGCTGCAGGTCAGAGGTCAGGTCACAGCTTAGAAACAGGTCAGGGGTCAAAGTAAATGTCATCAAAGTGCATCATGGAGTTTTATCTTGTTTCCACAGAACCATTTCCACAAATTTCCTCCCTTCTCCTGGGTCTTTTGCTGGGTGCCATATTCACTGGTCTCTCTGAGGGGTCTTTTGTAGCATATTTTTGGAGGAAGAAGACCAGGGCAGGTACGTCACACATGTACTGTTTGGTTCAGTCTCGAAGCTCTTGTTTGAAAATGATTAAGATTGACTACATCCGAAGACCCGAATAGATACAACCTTCTCATTGACGCTTACAGAACTGTCTTTGTCTTCGTTCAGCTGTCGCCTCAGTCTGCCGGGTGATGGTGAGGGAGGGGGCGCAGGCCGTAAAGCTGCCCTACCAAACCGCAGTCGAGCTTCCTGGAGGCGCAGGAGTGGAGTGGACCTTGTCAGACCCTGAACCCAAGGTGGTCCACCGGCAAGTGATCGGTTGTGACCAGCCCCAGAAACAGCCTGAGGTTTACTACGAGCGCACAGAGATGACAAACCTGGAGACTGGAGACCTCAGTCTGACCCTGAGTGACCCCCGCTGTGAGGACAGCGGTATTTACGTCTGCAACGTCCGCAGAGATGGAGTCATCCTGGCTCAGAGAGTGGTGGAGGTCCAGGTCCAAGGTCAGTACTGAGCAGTCGTTTGGGGGCACTGACAAGAAAACACAGACACAGTGCATGTCTTTTGTTGCTGACTGACCTCTGTCTCCTCTGCAGCACCAGGGTGGATTGAAAACTTGAGAAGCATGATGATGCCACAGCTGACAACACTAAACACACTGGTTTCACAGAGGGAAGACGACACCCTGACTGGTGACGGTCAACCAACAGGATGAAAACGACCCACGAGCAGCATTCACACTCAGTTCTTTTTTTGGGGGGTATTTTTGCCTTTATTTTGATAGGACAGTGAGAGATAGTCAGGGAGAGAGCAGTGAGGATTAAGCCCATGTGGCACACGCTCCACCAGGCGAGCCACCGAGGCGCCCCTCACTTTGTTTACTTCAAATTTAATTCGAGCAAGGATTAAAAATACTGCGGTTTACAAACTGTTTTACATTCTTATATTTTAATCTGCCTGTGGCAACAGGAAGCATCCCTGACATTTGGAAAAACAGCCTACATACTGCCTTTACATAACAGCGGACGATCAAATGCCCTAAATAATTATCGACCAATCTCTTAATGATCATGTCTAGCCAAGTGAAAAGTGTTTTCCAATCATTTTTAACTCAAAGAATCACCACACCAGTCACATCATTCCTGTCTCCTACTGACCTACACGCTTTTTATTTTTCTCGCACCTTGACTATTGCAATGTACTATATGCTGGAATCAGTCAGAGCTCCGTCCACCGACTACAACTGGGACAGAACGCCGCCACCAAGCCATATGAACACATCACTCCAATACTTCCAAACTTACCTGTTATATTCCAGATTAAAATTCTACTCATCACTTTCAAAGCATTAAACGGCCTCGCTCCAAACGATATCAAGGACTTTTTAACCCCATATGTGCCTGGGCGTCTACTTATCAATGGAGGGAGCTCTGCTGGTTTTTCCTGGGTCTCGGCTGGTGACTGCGTGTGACCCGGCCTTCAAACTGTGGAACAGTCTACCAGTTGAGATCCGACAGGAAGCACTCATGTTTGTTAAAACTCTTCTTAGCACATTCCTTCATCAGAAAGCTGTTATGAATGTTTGATATGTTTTTCATGTAGCTTGCGTTTTATAATGTTTGTTTTTCTTGTTTGTAATTGCTGGTTTTATTAAAAAAATGAACATTAAAGTTTATTGTCTGACTGGAAGCATGAAGGCTAATGAAACTGATATATTGAAATGGAATTACTCATTTATTTCCACAACCACAGGTTTATCTTAGCGTCCTTGATTGAGAAAGAATTGGAAATGGGGGAAACTAATATTGTTAATTGGTACATAAGTAAGAACTATTATGGTTTCTCACAGATCTATACAGATGCAGATTGTTTATTATACTTCATTACACTTATGTCCATGTTGACAGTGAATGACACAAACAATGAGGACTTGTGGTGAACTGTCTAGCAATCTGGTGCTAAAAATAGATCTACATCATGGCAGCAAGTTACCCACACGACCACTTCCTCATGAGTGATTTAGCCTACGAAATAAAAGCAGGGGAAGATTCTCTTTCTGCAGAAAAGCTTTAGTTCAAGTTAATGTGATCTTTTATTCTGAAGTTCTCACCGGAAATTCCTATGGTTCTGTTGCATGTTCAACTTGCACATCCCAGCCATAATTGCGGGGTCTTACCACTAGTGACAGCGGTTGCGTCACCCGCACTCCCCCAATCAAGCCCAACCCATCGCCCTCCATGTTTTCATTCAACACTACCTATATTTAATAAAAGGTCTAATAAACTCGAGTGAACTGTGTGTATGTGTTTTACTAAACAGTGTGACACATTGAGGACAACACTCAACACTTCTGTGACCGAGAACGTGCTGCTGTGGTAAAGTTTAACCGAGGTCACTCGCGCTCCGGGAATTAGACCGTGCCCGACCACCACCGCAAAACAACAACGTACTGCATTTATTTGATCAAATCTTTATTTTATTTACAGTGCAGAGACAATGTAAACGTCGCTGTTGAAGAAATGAAGTAACTGACAATGTAACTTCATAAATCATGTCGACTTAAACAATTACTTATGTTCTTACGAAACCATAGTAAAACAATTATTGTAAAGAAAACACATAGAGATAATAATGTAATAAACAGAAAAAAGTTACAAACCAAACTAAGATTCTCAAGTAAAAAAAAAAGTATAAAAATAATTAAAATATTAATCTATTACATGATAATCAGTATTACACGTGAGCTGAACAGGGGGATGAATCATACACAGGGTGGTACTTAATAGACTTCGTCACGTCCCCCTCATCCCAATACTCACTCCTGAATGAGTGGACGAGGGCACAATGGATAGTTTGTCCAAGATGAAGACGTCGGTTCTTCTCCTGACCGCTGTGATAGGTAAGCGACAACCTTTCTCTGCTCTGTTTGACTAGTTCTGCCTCTCCAGGTGCACAGCGGGGATCCCGTGCCGATACTGACCTGGGCATAGTCACGAGGAGGCAGGGAATACTTATACTCGTCCCCATGGTGACAACTTTGGCGACTAGCTGCTTTTTAGAAGCGTTTTGACTTTTAACCAGACGCACGTTTGTCATGATAACTATACTTAGTACTTGTATAAATTAAAACCACTGTCTGAAAATGCTTAAAATAAAGCAGATACCGTCGCGCTGCATCCCGTTGTCCAGTTGGAGCGCCCGGTCGAGTCCATCAGAACAGAGGAAGGTTATCAAGATGGCTGCTAGCTAGCTGTTAGCATCGTCATACAGAGCAGCGGAAGGTTAGCAAGTTAGCTGCTAGCTAGCTGTCAGCATCGTCATACAGAGCAGCGGAAGGTTAGCAAGTTAGCTGCTAGCTAGCTGTCAGCATCGTCAGACAGAGCAGCGGAAGGTTAGCTCTGCCAGGGACGGAGAAGTTAACTCGAGCAGAATTTCACCCAACATCAAGTTCTAAGTGTTTGAAAACATTTCCACTTTCCTAAGCGAGTTCCCCGGAGGTCAGCGGACCAGTACGGACTCTATCAGGCAGTGCACTGCGCTTTGTCCCTGTCTGACCTTCACTCTTGGGGGGAGTGGGGGCTGTGCGCGGGGGAAGTGACGATTCACTTCTTCTACTTCTACTTCCTGTTCCTTTGTAAGGAGGTTGACATCCAACATTCAAGTCTATTACCTAGGGGTATCACCTCTGCTGCATATGCTGCTATATGGTCTGACACCTTTTTAGATCCCGGTATTTATAAATGATGCTGCTGATTTTAGAAAGATAAAAAATTAAATTTGATGTAATAGATATACTGCAAACGCTATAAAATCTTATTCCAGTATCTTGAAATAAGAAAACTGATTTCTTTTATTATTATTATTATTATCATTAGTAGTAATAGTAGTGTAGTAGTACTCAGAAGTGACATATCCATGATAGGTTGTTCCATTATCCATGGAGGAATTGTGGGAAAAGATACTCTTGGGCTGTATTTCAGTCTTTTGAGATCCAACTCATCTGGCTCATATTCATATTATAAGGGCCCAACCACCGACTGGTCCTTTCTTACTATTCTGTAATGAAAATCTCCCCTTTGAGGCCTAAACATGCTCAAAAGACATATTTCATGAGTCTTGCACATGGTTGTTGCAAAATGGCTCGATAGCGCCACTCAAAAATTAATTTCATTGTCGGAACTAAATACATTCTGGTGGTCTCATGTCATATATTTAAAAGACCTGGTGCATAAAGCTGTGTTCACATTTTGCAAACAAAAAGCAAGGCACCTCTGCTGCTGCTGAGGTCCCACTGAATCTTCTCTCTGCATTCAGACAGACATGTTGTCAATACTGAAACCAGTTTGTTTTTCAGTTTTCCAACATGGTGCGGCTGTGGAGGTCGATGCAGGGGCAAAGTCTGTCGTGCTGCCCTGCTCTGTCAAACTGGAGGATCTGAAGGATTTGTCGGTGGTGTGGCGTCGTGAAGATCTCAATCCCTCAATCATCCACTTTAAGGAGCAGGGACGCAATGAGAAGGAAAAGCAGAACCAGAATTACAGAGGCCGTACATCAGTGAGCGATCCACTGCAGCAGAACGGACTCGCCAGCCTCACTCTGTCTGAACCACGTCTCAACGACAGCGGCACCTACACCTGCATCATCCGCAGGGAGGGAGAGGAACTGCACCGGACAGAAGTACCGCTGCTAGTCAAAGGTAAGGAGCAAAACCCTAACACCTCGACTGTTGCTGCAGGTCAGAGGTCAGGTCACTGCTGTAGATACAGAGGTCACAGCTTAGAAACAGGTCAGGGGTCAAAATAAATGTCATTAAAGTGCATCATGGAGTTTTATCTTGTTTCCACAGAACCATTTCCACAAAAGTTCTCACTTTGCTGGGGTCTTTTTCTGGGTGCTGCACTACTTTGTTCTTTCGTCTGTTTTTTTGGATCATGTTGTTGGCGGAGAAACTCCAGGGCAGGTTTGTTGCACATATAATGTTTTGGTTCAGTCTCAATGCTCTTTGTTTGAAAAAGATTAAGATTGAGTATCGTCATGATCTTTCCAGCTCGTTAAAACTCAGTCACAGAGCAGTGAAGCAAAACACTGAAGAGTTGGAACTTTGTTCTCCTGCTTCATTCTGACCTTCACAAGTTGACACCTTTCAGACCTGAAGAGAATCACCCTTCTCTTTGACGCTTACAGAAATGTCCTTTTTCTTTGTTCAGCTGTCGCCTCAGTCTATCGGGTGATCGTGAGGGAGGGGGCGGGGTTAGTAAAGCTGCCCTACCAAGCCACAGTCGACCTTCTTGAGGGCACCATAGTGGAGTGGATCTTGTCTGGCCCTAAACCCAAGGTGGTCCACCGGCAAGTGATCGGTCATGACCAGCCCCAGAAACAGCCTGAGGTTTACTACGAGCGCACGGAGATGACAGACCTGCCGCAGACCGGAGACCTCAGTCTGACCCTGTTTGACCCCTGCTGTAAGGACAGCGGCATTTACGTCTGCAACGTCCGCAGAGATGGAGTCATCCTGGCTCAGAGAGTGGTGGAGGTCCTGGTCCAAGGTCAGTACTGAGCACAGATCAGAGGTCAGTGCTCCATTTTTGTTTTGTTGTTTGGTTTTTTTTTACAATTTTTTTTGAGTTGCTTTGATATAATTATTAAATGAAAATCATGATTCTTATATCGATACGTGAAATACACCTCTTTAGTCAACTTCACTCCAACTCATTATGTTTACATTTTCTTTGGGGATGGCTTTTGGAATAATGGTTAATAAACCTCATTTACATAAAAATAAATCAGAGGAACATGTGTTGTTGGATTATCACAGACAGGTATATGTCAAAGTTTATTCCCTTTCAACAGCGTGACCCGTTGTAGTGGCCGGGTCAGATCGGACCACAGATGCTTTATGCATGTTCCCAGAATTCAATACAATAGTGATCATTGATTACATTTGCAAAAAGAGTAGCAAGGACCCATCCATGTTGTTGTCAGACAATTACGCGAAAAAAAGAAACTTCTCTCATTGAGCTTCTTCTCAGCTCCACGTCCTGGAAGTGTCGCAACAGTTTTATGAAAGTGAAACTTCTTGATAACTTTTGAAAAACGGGGATTTCAGTTTCTGTCAGGATCCTTTTAACCTTTGGAATTGTCATGTTTTATTTAAATAAAGTATTTCTGATGCTCTCAGGCAGCTCTCTGGTCTGCACCATTGTGAAATGGAAACTGGAAATTAACATTCATTGGTTAATTCAGGTCATGTGAGCACTGAAAATTAAGCACAGGTGAGTGTTGTTCATTCTGGGTTTGTTTTGGTCTGAATCGAATCTATCAAACGGCTGCCAATCACGGTTTCCCAATAAGTGTGTGCTCAACCTTTCCTCCATGTTCTACTTTCCTTTCTTTTTCCTACAGATCCTATCTCTGCTGCTCTTCTTGTTGCTGCTCTTCGCGTCTTTTTCTTGCTCTCACTCTTTTACCAGGACAAGCTCGGGTCATTCCTGTGAGTTGTCACCGTCATTACTGTGTCTTCTGTAGTTCACTCGTATGAAGGACAAAGGAAAATGACAATGAAGTAAATAAATAAATAGTGTCAAGTCAACGGTAGTAATAGTCGATCCATCCAAGCGTCAACCAATCCAAGTCACGACTGAGGGAGGGCCGTCTACCTAATTAGCATATGGACACAGAAATAAATGTAAAAATACAGAAATAAATCAATGTAGAAACAAATAAAAATATATATATTTTAAATGTGGAAATACATAAAAACATAAGAAACAAATAGATAAATCTAGAAATCCAGAAATAAATAAACAATTAATTCTTGAAATACGTAAATAGATAAATATAGAAATGCAGAAATTGAAAAATAAATAGATGTAAAAATAAAGAAATAAATAGATTTTGAAATACGTAAACAATTGTATAAATAAATAAATGCAGAAATACATGAATAGATTTTGAAATGTGTGAATAAATAAATGCAGAATTACATAAATAAATAATTATAAATTAAAAAATAAATCAATGTAAAAATGCTGAAATAGCATTTTTCAAAATGTGTTTATTTTGCATTTAATCATGTATTTAATAATTTTTTCTGCATTTATTTATTTATATTTATGTCATTTCTTGTCCTTCAAACCCAGTTAGCAAAACATGGTAGATTAAGCAAGTAGCAGCTAGATACTGCACCTTGTCTCATATTCCTACATCTTAACATCTTGAGCTTCACTGCTGCCGTCTCTCAGGTTACAGTCGTTACTGTAGTTACTAAAAATATTTTTGCTAAGACATGTTAGCATGAGATGTGTAATTAACCATGTCTAGCATGGTAGCTAAAGACTTTCTACCAATGTAAAAGAAGGCAAAACTATAGCAGTGGAGCTTGATTGGTCCTCCAAGCTCAATCTGACAATCGATTGGCTGCTGAGTTGTCACTTTTCTCTTTTCTACACCTCCATCTGTTTGCTGTGCTTGTTTCTTTGTACCTGCCTGAACATCTGACAGCCACCAGAAAGTGGGTCTTGGGTGTTCATATGTACTTGGCCAATAAAGCTGATTCAAGTTCTTAATTAAAACCCCATAAAAATCACATTAAGAGGTTGAGTGAGAACACGCCTGAATTCATACACGATTTGTGAACCTGCTAACAGACTAACACTAATGCGACCTCCTGTCCAACGAGGTGTGGAAAATAAATACATCCCCCAACTCTTTTCTTCCTCAGTCTTCCTGGTGATGGCGAGGGAGGGGGAGGAGTTCGTAAAGCTGCCGTTCCGCATCCCCCTTGAGGTCTGTGAGGGCGTCGTAGTGGAGTGGAGCCTGTCTGGCCCTAAACACAAGACGGTCCATCGGTGTGTGATCGGCAGTGACCAGCCCGTGGACCAGCACGAGTTTTACTATGGACGCACAAAGATGTCAGGCCCGTTGTCCCTCGGTATCCTTGATCTTGTCCTGGAAGACCCCCGCCGTGAGGACAGCGGCATCTTCATCTGCACCGTGCACAGAGGGGGGGTCATCCTGGTCCAGAAAGTGGTGGAGCTCCAGGTCCAACGTCAGTACTGTTCACAGATCAGAGGTCAGTGCTCCTGCTACACATCAGTGTGTGTGTGTGTGTGTGTGTGTGTGTGTGTGTGAATACATAATTCTGAATATTTAATATTTTGAGAAATAAATGCTAATGAACAAATCTTATATATCCACGTGTCCCATCAGCAGAGACACCCTGGTTCAGGGGTAGACGTTATTATTATCATTATTATTTATATTTATATATAAACACTTGGCTGTATATGTTATATGAGTCTGGACAGACAACTTTAACCTGCAACTTGACTGGTTGGCAGAGGCACACAGCCACGAGGTGGTAATCCCATACGCAAATGTAATATATGTACACATATTGAATTTCCATATATGAAATATATATTTTTATTTTATATGTACATATATATGTAAAAATCTTACCTGAGACCTATTAGAAATGGGAACAATTTTCATGTACTGACATATATATCTAGCCTATACAAATATATACCTGTATATATGTATGTATTGTAGACAGATGTTATATAATATATCATTTTACTGTGGGTATTTCATATATTTTGTAAACTTGTATCTTAATTTATCCAGTGGATGTGTAAATGTGAGGATGTTATATCCCCTTATAGGTGACAGACATGGCAGCGACACCTTTGTTGACATGACGTATCTCTGCAGCGACAGGATGGACTGAGAGAAGAACGATAGCTCACTGCCGACCAAGAGATGTCTGTTTTATTTCACCGTGCTCAGTTTTCTGTGTTGCAATATTAACTCATTAGTCTTAGAACACTTAAAATTTAATTAGAACAAGGGTATTAACTGCTGCTTTTTAGAAAACATTTAGCATTAGATTCACGAAGCATCTCAAGAGTAAAAGTAGCTCCTAACTTGCAGATTTAGGAGATTTAGTGTCAGTCCTAACTTTAGGACTCCTTATTTTTCAGAGTAATTCATTGATTCACTTAGCGCTAAAAGTAGCTCCTATGTCTGGGAGAAGTTAGAAGTAGTGGAGAGGACTCACTATGTTGTGGAGTTTGTGAAGGATTAAATAACATCTCCAACTGAAACAACCGATCACTGCGGGAATTAAGTGTTTGGCAACGCTGCGTTACTTGGCAACAGAGAAAAGCCGATATATCTACCAAAAAATAAATGCACTCTGATCCAACGTCAGGAAAATTCATACGATTTCTTTTAGATGTTCAACTACTAGAGAGAAATAATCTTAACACACCTCAACCCACAGCTACATTACAGCAGGTGCAGCTACAGCAGTCTGTGGCTAACCTGCAGCTTAGCTTTAGTTAGCTCGTCTGCAACAGGTTAGCTGTTTTTATTTTTCCATTGAGAGATTTGAACATAAATTATAATTAAATTTTCCCGGGTCGACACAAACCTCATCATACAGATGCATTTTGGAGATTGCACTACTTTTGTAACCAGCAACTGATCCGTTATTATTTTATTTGTTCTTGTTTATTTCTCAGTGGGTTTTTTTTATTATTACTGTGGGATGTTGATGTTGTTCATGCTTTCAGCTTCAGCATCGGAGCCTCTTCTCCTCAGTAAGAGTTGGTCTCAGCAGCTTTGTGAAGAGGACTCTTAGTGGGAAGATAAAATGTTTTGTAAAAACAGGTCCTGATCATTACTGTGTATAACATTAAAGTCATATTATGTTGAAAAGGGCTTTAATGAATCCATAATGCTACAAGTTAAGCTATAGTGGTATTAACAGTGATTGACAAAGGACTCTTAATGTCTGAGCTGGACTGCTTTTGTCTCCAGCCACATACCGATATCACAGTATTTTAATGTTGTAAATATTTTATGCTGAATGCATGAATTTAAATGTTAAGAGAATGTGTGTGTGTTATATTCTGAGTAAATTATGAAGGTGTGAAGGTTGAGTCTGGGTCAAAGGGAATGTATGAGTTTTGGGAGAGTCTGGTAGCTGTAGCTACATGTTGTCTACTGGAAGAAATGAGAATTATGTCTCAGAGAAACGAACTATGCTGTTACAAGATGAATTGCATGACTGTGTTTCTTTAGTATGAGTAGAGTTTATAATGTTTCAAATAAAGCTGCTTCCTCTTCTTCTTCAGAGTCTCTGCGTCATTCATATGCTCCGGTTTCCATTTGAGTTTTGTTTTGAGAGGCCGTGACGGATGTGAGAGGTTTAAATAAATAGCTTCTGCACCCGGCTTCTCGTTAGTGACAACTGTGGCACAAGAAAATGAAATGCCCGCTTATCAGGTGCACACGGAGGGAGAGAGACTGCGTGTGGTGAGATTACTCAGGTCCATCTAGTTGTTAGCCCAGTGTGATAAGCGAGGATGTGTCACCTGCCGTGTGTGTGGCCAGAGAGGGGAAATGCAAAACACAAGTAATGTTGTGTTTCCCAGAGGCATGTAGGTGACATGTAGTATAGCTGCTGGCCATGCAAATACCACAACAAATCAACTGCACATGTGTTTTATTATGTTGTCACTTCTCATCATTTGGATATTTTAAATAACCTCCCTCTCCTGGTGCTCTACAGACAACAGGATACATCTGCTTCAAGAAGGACAAGAATGGCAGTTGACTGAGATATTTTTATAAACATTTAACACTTTACACCCATTCATAATGTGACATGTTCAATATGTCATTTCACCATGAGCGTCAATCTGCTGCTACAACAGCCTCCCCTCTTCTGGTGTCAGGTGATAATGGTCGAGGTTCACCATCAGTGGAAGAGGCTGAGGTCTGGTTCTTCTACACCAAACTGGAAAAAAACATTTCTTTATGGACCTGGCTTTGTCAGTGTAATGTTGAAAACAGGAAGCAGGAGTACATTAGTGTCTCAAATATCATTGCGTGTTGTATCATTAAGATTTCCCTTCATTGGAACTAGGAGTCCCAAACTGGGAAAACAGCCCCAGACCAGTATACAGTATATCACATACCCTCGTTAGGATAGAATGAAGTCTATAAGAAGAAGAAGAAGAAGAAGAAAAACACCCATTAAAAATACAATAAAACACACAGAATACATTAAATATCATAATATCCCATTATTACACCTCAGCAACTGACAAAACTCCCTCCAAACCAGCCATTGTACTAACCTCTCTGAGGGCTCCAGCAACTCCCTAGTAACCACTCCAAACAACCTAGCAACCACTGGGTAACACCCGACCATCCACTCCAAAATACCCCAGCAACCACATATAACATCCCAGTAACTACTTGAAACCAACCTAAACCCCTAAATGATCACAGAATAACCAGCTTCTAAAGCTAGCAACCACCTCTTTAAGTTTTACACTTAGGAACGAAACAACTCCAAAAATGTAATCATGAGTAATTATCTCATGACGTTTGATAATCCAGTAACATTGTAACATCCAAACCTTAACTCTTAACTCTCAATGTAGCCGGCTCTTATCTGATCAGAAGTCACACCTTGATTCATCCTGATTCATTGCTCTGCCCGTAGCATGCAAGTTTTCCTGCTCTGTGCAGGAACAGCAGGGGTTGAACCAGACTGCTGGGCAGGGTCAACCAGATTCCAGACCTCAGCAACACACAAACATCTTTGGACAGCAGCAACAAAAACGACACGCCAACACATAGGAAAAATCCAACAAACCTTAACAACTGCACTCCCAGTATGGCCATGATGATGTGGAAAGCTCTGTGCTTTGATTGGTCCCTGTCTCTGCCCGCCTCGCCAGGCCCCGGGCGAATCAGAACATGGAGAACAGACAGACTACAGAATAACTCAACGATTATGGAAAAGCCCAAGAGGCAGAGAAAAGGGATGGTGGGAAAACTGTGGGGATACAAAGTCCTTACGGCCATCAACCCAAAGCACAACAGCCAAACACACCCAATGCTGATTTTTCTGATCCTGACCCCGCCTGTTTCTCTCGCGCGCATGTAGGTGTTGGGGTGAACTACGGCCAGGTAGTGCTCCATGCAAGTGAGGCAGTGAAATAAACTCTGCCCAGGGAAAATGAAGGAGAACACATACGTCCCCAACACTGTGATCGTCATATTTTCCATGGAGATGCCATAACTGTAGAAGACTAATCCCAAAACAGCAATAAGCTCCACCATGACCATGTGGTAGGTGATGAGGTCGTGGTGGCTCATTAATCTCCCTCCATGAACAGAGCGCTGACGCCTCCATCGTTGGATGCCCATGCAGAGAACGAGGATGTAGAGAGGGAGGAAGAAGAGGAAGGTGGTGATGGTGAAGGACGTGAAGATGAGCGTCCCAGCACTGGTCCAGAGGCAGTTGATGAGGAGAGGATGGAGGGAAGAGTTGGATAAGTTGGAGGAGGAGAGGGGAGGGGGGCCAAAGGTAGCGTTGAGGGAAGAGAAGGACATGGCCTGTGGAAGAGGATGGGAAGTGGAGGTGTGGAGAGAGGAAAGCATTACTGGAAATGTTTTATACACATCATGACAAAAATTGAAATGGGGCAGAAAAAAAAAAAGCTTGAGCCAATATTTACAACACTATGTCATATATATCTTTTGCAGAGTATGACAATCTTTCCAACAAGAAACAGAACTGTCCATGGATATTCGCAATCACAAATGTAACAGGTAAAAATAAATACGGTATTTTAACACTAAAAATAAAATGCACAAACGAGTAGCATAAGTTTTGTTGTCACTGACTCTCAAGTTATTATAATTCTATATTTAGAGTAGTAGAAGAAGGTATAAATATATTTGAGTTCATTAAAATAAACAAACCTCGTCAACAGTATGTCCTTATAAATAATTTCCTCTAAACTGGTGAAGCTTTGTCCACAGACTCCCAAACACAGGTGTCCTGTTGGAGTATGTTGTTGATACAGGTGTGCCTTGTGTATGTGTGGAAAATAAACAGGACTTGGGCCTTTGCATATTAGCAAACCACTAATGATCACCTGAAACAGCATTCACTGCTTCACTGACACGGATTATGGGCTATCAGGTAGAATGAAACAAAAACAATGAAACATCATAACTGATTAAAATATACCATGCATCCTTTTTCCATCTTTTTCCAGCAATATTCAGAGTTTTCACAAAACCAAACCACAACAAATGGCTGCCATTTAGGAATCAATGCTTTATTTCAGTGTTGAGTGTGTGTGAATATTAAAGAGATAGTCCATAACAGTGAACAGACATGACAGATAGTAAATACAGAGAGAGAAAGAGCAGGCAAGTGAAAGTGTAAGAAACTGGTCGGTACTTTAAGAGCTGTACTCCAAAATACTACATATCCATTTGAGGAAAAAAAAAAAAAAAGCGATGTACAATGTTGTTCATGTCATGGAGCAAACCGACACTGACACACCCAAGCCACGTGTAAACACTTGTAATGACAAATTTAGCATCTGTTGTGTTGGTTAAGGAATTTCTTTTAAGATTTTTTTCCCTCGATGGTGAAATTTCCTCAAATGGATCTGAAAATTAGCTATTAATGTCTGAAACAGGTTTAAGCTAACTCATAACTTATGTTTGCAATAAATTTCAAATCATTACTCAGAAGGCAATTCTATCATATCAACAACATTCATATTACTGACGTTAAGGCTGAATATCCAGCAGACAAGGCCCAGTTTACTTTGAAAAAAAAAGAACACAGTCTGATTTTGTTGAAACAATCAATAGAGCCATCAAATCCTAAAATCTTCTCCTGTAGCAGCACCACTAGCTGCTGAAACAAAGTCAGAAAATTTACTTTTAACAGACTCTTGAACAGACAGACAATCTGAACAATTAGGGAAACAACATCAGCTCTTGTTTTTGGACTGACATTTTAATATCATTTTAGTCTATATTTTTTTATTGTGCATGCACTTATCTCACAGTTTTTAAACTATTGCTAGTTTCAGACTTGCCTTGTTAGCATTCAGCATTGAAACCAATGTCTACAAACAATCAATAACTATTGTGTCAGCTTAGTTGCACACTTTCTTACAAAATAGACAGTGTTAGCATTTCAAAATGAACCTCCTGATCTAACCAGCAGTAAAGGTGTCCGTGGGTTTCAATCAGAAATGCAATGCTAACAAGCTCTTTTTGCTAACTGGCTAGGTTGAGTATCCCCACCCCCCACCCAGCATGACAACTTTCATTTGTTTAGAAAAAATTATAGAATAAAACTTTAAACGCTGATTTGTCCACTCACAATAACCAATATAAAATGTAGCAAATGCCAACAATCATATTTTGATTCAACTTAACAGATGAAATGTATAAAAAGAAGAAATATAATGGGCACTTAAGAGTTTCAATGCACATGGTGGAACACAATCAAATGGCAAGATATAAAGATTAAAATACCTAATAAAGATAAATAATAAATAAATAAATAAATAAATAAATAGAAGTAATAACTTACATAAATTTGAAAAACCTTTTATCTATTGTGAACGTATTCATGTTTTTGATTATTGTTTTTTAATTCCTGCTTCAATAAAGACTGATAGACGACATAGTGTAAACAGCTGACCACAAGCTTCTGTTAGTTATTCTGTATAGTAATGATGCCGATGAAACTGTTCAACTGTGGGTTGATGCGTGTAACTTAAATGCTTTTCTTGCCTATTCAATAATTGATGTAAATGCTTCATATTGTTATGATTATTACTATCATATAGCACTTTTCCAAAAGTAATTTGTAAATGCTTTGCAATTGACCTTTACTGTACCTAGCATTACTGTAAATATGTTTAGGTGTTGGTGAACTGTTTCTAAAATGGGAGCTTACAGTTGAAATCAGGCATGTTTTTGGGTTTGGGAAATCAGGTATGTTCAACAATCACATAATACAGAGGCATGCTTCTAGAACACTGAGGTATTCTTTTTATGGGAGATGGCGGACCATGTGGAATTGTACAAGCAAGCGACAGCACTTCTCGGAATTCTTAATGCATTCTAGAATCCTTAGTCATGGTGGAAAGAATCGATACATTCTGGAATCCCCACCCCCACCCCCACCCACCCCAGCCTCTTGTTACTTTGTTACTGAGATGGCGAGCAGAAAGGAGTGTGTAAAAATGTTGCTGATTCCAAATATGTTGATTATTTCGAACATTTTACATGATATTATTAAAGGTATTTTCACAAATATATAGGATAGATTTATAGATCTTTTTTTCCCTCCTTGCTCCAGATGTCCGAGGAAAAATATATGAACACTCAAACCAAGCATAGATAGACAATGCTGCTTCGATGCAATCAACCCAATGAATCAGTCATTCAAACAATCAGAATCAGAGTCAAGCAGTCATATCTAATGATGAATCTATTGCCTAAGACTTGTAAAGAATACTAGCATATGGCAAGAAAGAAAATAAACATTCCATATTCAAACAATCCTAATGTACAAACAATGGACTAGAGGCTAAAAGTGGCCAATGTCTTAGTCTACGAATCATTTCTCTATGATCATCCCAGAGTGAACATCTTAACACATCTCTTTTTATGATACAGTTAAAGGAAATTTGGTTGGGAGAGAATGCCCTTTAATTTTTAACCCATTCTTTGCTTCATATTTACAGATTTACTATTGATGAACCAGTTTAAAGTTCCTTAAGTGCTTTGCTCAAGTGCACACTGACAACCACTAAGCATTGGTAGCTAAAGTTAGCCTCCAAATATTAGTGCAGAAGTTGGTGTGCAAATGTAAACTACTGTGGGTGTAACCTGTGGTAGTTGCGTGGAGTAGCAAATTATGTCAAACCAAGACACAGACCTCTTTTAGCTCACTGGCCATTATTTTACCTGTTAGACACAATACGAGAAGGCGGAGCAATAGAAATCTTTCGACCTTCCATTCCATTCCGAATCACCAACTTTTATCTATTCATTCATGCTTTTAATGCCTCTTCGATCTCTTGATCCATCATTCACTCCAATGTAGATTTTGGAAGCAGTGGTTTCCAACAATGTTTTCGTCCTCCCAGCTTGCAGCCTTTATTTATCCTTCCTTTCTTTTTTAAGCCTGTTTTCATTCAGTCCTCCGTTGTTATGCTCATGCCAACCTGGGAGAATTTGACATCATTAATCCGTCTTGGCATCGCTGTTTTTTACTCTAATCTTGCATCCTTCATGCATCCCATTTTGCAATGTATGTCAAACTTGCATGAAGGCAGAAAATTTGAATCTTTCCATTGCCCCTTATCTGCCACTTAACTTTCATCAGACTTTTGAATGGATAAAGCTCAAATACCAGTGTTACAGCCACCATCTCCTGCTATCCAGGTTCATTTTTTGATTATCTTATTTTATCAGAATCATCAAAGATGCCAATACAAGCTTTTACTTTCATAGTCTTGTGATGTAATAATGGCTCAGCTAATCCTTTTTCTTTGTTTCTTCCTTGCTTCTAGACCTCCTTCCATCATTACAGTCAGCAATGGAGGTTCATGCAATAATTTGACATCGTGCATTGTATCTCCCATCTTCAACAACTGCTCCCCCCGGACCATCTCTCCTGCCTCCGCTTCACTTCTCCGTCCAAGCCTCCATCATTGTAGGTAGCGGTAGACTTTGAAGCAGTGGTTGCCAGAGTCTGCCACCACCACATGTCCGTCTGAGGTCAGAGCCAGACCTTGGGGACCATAGAGCGGGTCGGCTGACGTGTTGATGTAGGAGAGGAAGGAACCACTGCCATCAAACACCTGGAAATGTTGGAACAGGGACAGAAAATGTTTTGATAATTGCACTAATTTTCCCAGAAGCGGGGTCTTACCATTACATGTTTGCAAGCACTGCACAGCGCTGTTGTACCTGAATTCTGCTATTTCCCCAGTCAGCTACGATGATGTTCCCATTAACGTCCACAGCTACACCAGTGGGAGCATTGAACTGGCCGTTTCCCTCACCGTTTGAGCCAAATTTCAACACCAACTCTCCCTCAGGGGTGAAAACCTGACCCGGACAGAGAAACAATATCAGAATCCATTTTTACATCTCCTGTTCAAGTGTTCTTGAGCAAAATGTTAAATTTGTACTTGTTCACCTGGGTAATGCTAGACCAAAGGTTTTCTTTCATTTATGTGATGTTTAGTCAGTACCTTGACAGAGTGGTTATGGAAGTCAGTCACAATGATCTCATTGTTCTTGTTCACTGCTGCAAAGTGTGGACCTTCAGGACAGAAACACGGAAACAACAAGAACAGGTTGGGCTTTCAGCGATTACAATTCAACTGACGCTTCAGTTGCTGTCACCACTTGCACTTCAGTGGAACTAAAATTTTAACTGCTTTCAGAGCTCACACTTCATGTGCCCTGACTGTTTACACTTCAATTGCTTTCAGGTTGCACTTTAACAGCTTTTAGTTATTGTTTTTCATATAACACTTGGAGTGTTTTGATGTGTTACTAAAATTAAAAACACTTCAACCACTTAAATTTACACTTGAACTGACAGTTCAACTGCTTTAAAATATTACCCATCATATTACCCTTTGCACTACCTGCAAACTGCTTGTCACCGTTGCCTCGACTACCAAACTTGGTGATGAGCTTGCCGGTCAGCTGGAAGATGAAGACGGTACACGCCTTGTTGTCAACCACGATCACGTGACCGTTCTGGTCCACGGACACCCCCTTTGGCCCCATAAGTCTGCCAGAGCCAAGCTTCGCCTGATGGACCGCAAATAAAACCAATGAGAGCAAAGAGCCATTCAAGAAAACATAACACATGTAAGTTTGAATCAGTTGTTTTTTCAGAAATGTATTAAAATGTCCTCGAGAGATAAATACAATTTATAAAAAGTTATAAAGAATCAATCAACACTTCATCCTCCAACAGCTAAGGTGCACAACGGCACACCTACCTTGTACTTGCCATCGCTTGAGAAGATGCTGACCCACTTGTTGTCATAGTCAGCAATGATGATGTCACCGCTGGGGTGAACAGCCACGCCCGTGGGGCGCTGCAGTTGCCCTGGTGACCGTCCCCGCACCCCAAAACGACTCTTGAATTCCCCCTCATTGGAGAAAATCTGGAGTGGGGACAACTTGTGAGGACCTTCATAGACATAACATATTCCTTAACCTCCAACCTGAACCGTCAAACAGCCTCCAGGACTGGGCATAATGTGTTTTACCTGGACGCACTGATTGTTGCTGTCGGCGATCAGTATCCTGCCGGTGGAGGAGGCAGCCACTCCTTGAAGGTTGGTGAACTCTCCTTTATTCCTCCCCTTTGTTCCTGAAGAGAGCAAGAAAAATCAGATGAAACTGATTTCAAGCATCTGCTCTGCCTGTAACCTTTCTGTTAAACCTGTTTATTCTGGCAACACAGACACATTTGTTTAATTGTCGTATCAACCTTTTGACCGAGTCACAGTTCGACTGCTAAAGTTCGGACTAGACCCACTGGTCAGATCATTTTTGGGTTTGACCGTATAAAATCTGGACTTTTTGCTCCCTTTTAGTCATGCACTGTGATTCATATGTTGTTATTCTCAAGATATTGTGGACTACTTGATTTTCATGAGAGACACTGGGACATTCTGGGACTACGTTATGAGTATGATTGAAAATATATTCATGCATTTCGTCAATCCTAATGTTTTCTTATTTATTATTGGGGTAATGGCAATTTAGGTCCAATCATGCTTTGGGTGATGCAAATACTTGAACTGGATTAGTTACTTCATTGTGCACTGTAACAATGGAAACAGAGAGCAACAACTGGAACTGGAGGCTACACCTTGTCCCCCAAATTTAGGTTCTTCAACAAGTACTCAGATCTGCATTTTTCTGTCCGGACAAATGTCTCACCGATCCTGAAGATGAGGTCATCCTCAATGGGGTTCTGGGTTTTACGTCGTGGGGTGCCCAGGGCGCTGCTGGCCCTTTTGGAGCCCTTCTTCTTCTGCCCAGGGGACTTCCCTCGTCTCTTGGCCCCCTCAGAGGAGCCTGTGGATGGTGTGGCGTTGGCTGCGGAGTTGGTCGCCGTGGTGGTGGATGGAGAGACCTGGAGAGACAGCGACTGTAAGGGTACAGTGTTTGGATAAAATTAGACACTCTCCCTTTTGTCTGACAAATTAAGATGTAGCTCCACACACACACACACTCTCGCTCCACCCACCTCTACTTCTGTCTCATACGCCCTGGTGACGGTCAGTTTGAAGGGGCTTCCTTTGATGTGCTGGTCGTACAGACGGAGGGCCAATGAGAAGTTGCCCTCCTTCGGCACCGTGTACACAAACTCGTAAGTCCCATTCTTGTGGTCCACGATTTCACCGTCCACTATGCTGCCGTCTGGGGTGAACACCTGGAGTAACACACGGGTAACCTTTTGTAAGTTTTTTGTGAATGTGTCCACTATTTTACTTGACTGTGGGCGTAAAATGAACCTCAGCTGACAGGATCGCATTGCCACTCTTGCAGGCTCCCCCTGACTTGTCCCGCGTTACTATGGTAACCGAGGCAGGATGCCCCACAATGCACTGCTCCAGACCAATGCCCATGGCTTCGCTCTGGCTCGCCACCGCACTGAGGAAGAAGAGGAAGATGAGTCAAATGGTATTAAATGCAAAAATGCTTCTTGAGCCCGGGGGCCAGATCATTTGCCGTCAGCACGGTCTCACCTGGTCGTGACGATGGTGCCCAGGTTGTGTATGGACTTCCTCAGTCCGTCCGTCTCCATCACCAGATCCAGCTGGTCGTTCTCCTCCGGCTGACACGGCAGGCCGAGGCTAGCTAGCTCTGCCAGCCTTTCCCCCAGCTCCCGCTCCACCTGCAGGCTCGCCACGCATGCCTCCCCAGCCAGAGCCTCCTCCGTCTGGGTACAGGTGGCATTGATATCCCCCTCCCCCCGAACAAGGCTGTCTACCTGGGCCTGGAGAACCTGGGCACAGAGAGAGACGACCTTTTACGTCACAATTCATTCATTCATTCATTAATAACAACCAATGTCTTGTTTTGCTGCTCTGCACCTTCTGCTTGAGTCCATATGTGACCTCGAGCTCCATGAGCAGAACGCTCTTCCGGACATCCAGCTGCTTGTGCAGGTCCTCAAAGCTCGACTGGATGTCCTCTTCGATGGAAGTTCTCTGATTGGTCAGCTGCTGGAGGATCTCCTTAACAAAGGACAAGGCATCCGAAAGCTGAGGGAGTCTGGAGGGACACATATGAAGGGAAACAGGAATTAGAAGGTGAAGCCAAAAATCTACATCAACACACCAGGTTATCCTTTGTTAATTCTCTGTTACCACATTAATGCAAGACACGCTGTGCTTCTGTTTGTATGATCATTGTATCGATGAACACTCATTCACAAATCCGAGAACCCATTTCCTCATTTCTGTCATTTTGTTGTTGTTGGTCCATAGTACTGCATTTCTCTCCCTGTCCACCAGATGTCAGTCTCCCCTCTTCTCCCCATTAACTGTCTCTCAGTAGTTACTCATGCCTGTGAATTCCCTGTGTTTCCTCATGCTGTGGGGGAATGTAACTAAGTACATAAGTACACAGTGCAGGTGTATTTGCAGTCCCCACCTGTTCTGGACAATCCCCAGCCTCTCCTGCAGGCTGCTGCGGTGCTGTTCCAGGGCCTGGCTGAGGGGCACCTTAGGGTGCTCTTCATGGTCCGACAGACAATCCTCACACAGCGCCAACTCGCAGGCCAAACAGTACAGGTCAGCCACCTGGAGATGAAAGGGAAGAAAGAAAGAGGGTGTGTGTGGGGGGGGGGCTACTTTTTGTAGAAATACAAGATGTATTTGTATTTTAGTATTAGTCATTTACAGACTCGCAAAACTCAGGTGCAAAATAAAGTTGCCAGAAATCGAAGAATCTCTACAGGATTTTTGGCGTCATCACCGTCACTGTTGTTGAAGAGAAAAAGTAAAAAACAACATGTGTGTTGTGTTCCCACCTTCCCTGCATGTTGTGGGCAGGTGTTTTTTCCAGGTGGAGCCTCCAGGACGGTGCACTCCTCACTGCTGCTATCTGGGGAGTGTTGGTGAGCCTCCATCTGCGAGTGGCAGCCTGGTGGGGGTGAACCTCCGAACACACCCCTTATTCCACACTGCGGCCAGGGGGAGGGGCTGGATGTTCAGATACAAGTATTCCTACTGTGGGTTTGTATTGTTTGCCTTTGTAAACTTCTTTACTCGCACTTTACTCCATCATGTTGCCGAGACGGAGAGCCAGAATATTAATTAAAGTCCTTGTGAAAGCTGTTGGCACTTGTTAGATCTTTGGAGAGGCATGTCGTGTTGAAGGAGAGGCTAAACATTCAGTCACAGCCCTTTTCTGGAGCCTGCAGTCACATCTGAGGGATTAGACATCCACACACCACCCTCCTTACTGCAGGACTTTCCCGCACAGCATCCAGAGAAGAGTGCTGGAAAGTCAGATGTAGGTGTTGGTTTTCTGTAATGTGAGTATACAATCATCCACTTTAGTCAAAGCTTTACTTTGTTGATCTCTCTGCTGCTAAAAGGAGGGACTAAAATTTCAGACATGCCCTTTGTTTGAGCCTGTAGTCACTGAAACATTATTCCATTACATTCCCGTTGGGTTAAAAAAGAAGGTCCAGGTATCCAGAAATCCACAAACATCCTTCTGATTCCGTGTCTCGTCTATTCCTCTGTTAATATATACATCTGTCGAAAATCACCCAAAAAAAAAAGCAGTCGTACAATCCTCTTTAGTTCTGATTTTGGGGAAAGTGACGGCCCTCGGTGTTGGTTTAATTCACAGAGGGTTCAAATTGAGGACAGACTGTGTGTGTCCTGGGGAGAAGAGAGAGGGATGAGGATTAGGTGGGAAAGCAGATAAACATGGATAGAGAAAAAAAAAATTAACACTTTACTCTCAACTCTTGAGTGCGTGCTTTCATACTTTGTCATGTGTTGTTAGCTAGTGAATATTTTCTATATGTCTATATAACCAATTAGGTAGGTTATATCGGTGGTTCCCACAAATTTGACCACAGACCCTCTGGAACCTCCTCAAAGACCCCGAGGGGTCCCCAGACCACACTTTGAGAACCTCTGGCTTAGATGTCTAACCTAAACCGTCTTATTCGTAGCTGTAGTCCCTATAGAGTTAAACGCAATGTTGAATGTCACTGTCTTAAGCTGCAGTTCCTTTAATCACCACTAGATGACGCTCCATCTGACTGCATTGAAGTAAATGGTAAAACCTCAAACTTGATTTATCACTTTGTCCATAAAATATATGGACACAGTTTCAGAGAGAAGATGTATTTTAAGTGAGTTTGTTCAGTTGTCAATAATTGAAAATAGTCATAACTCTGCCTGCGACCGACTTGACTATTCCATCAACAATAAATAATAATGATCATATTTGTGATTTTCCTCAGGATTGTCTGAATGGAAGAGATGGAACCCTTCATGGTCACTTCACAGAATCACTGCTGTGAAATAAATAAGTAAATAATCTTTCTCGTCTGCACGTTAAGAGAGTTATTTTGTCCTATTTGTAAACGTCACTGAACACATCATGGAAGATAAAACATTCCCCTCTCTGTGGCTGCTGTTGACAAAAATAACATACCCTCCTTTTAATGTTTCTATGCTGATGATACCGCGTAGTCAATGTTTAATGAAAGGCTGATCAGATGTAATGTTTTTGTTGTCACCGCAGTAGGTTTCTCTTAATTAGCATCAGCCAAAGTCTCTCTAACAAAATGCCACAAAATGATAATAAAACACCAGCTGCAGCTGAAAAATCATGCTGAATAAATACACACAAACATTCCCAGTCTGTCTTCCCCACTACAGGAATGCCCATATGTTCCTTCCAGATGGCGTATCAGCTCACTACACACCCCAATTAACTCCCAGATGGTACGATCCACAGCAGGAATCTGTGCAGCAGGACCCAGGACAGACGACGGGAGGACGGAGGTGAAGCACCGAAGTGAATGAGGAGTACGATACTAATAAAGAGCTTCTAGGAGCAGAAATGTAGGTCACCGAAATGTCTTCAAAGTGATGGAGAAAGAGACAGAGGGGAGAGACAGGGAGTGAGGCTGTGGTTTCTATGGTAACAGACTGCACAGGGAGGGGGTGGTGGGGGTGCAACAAAAAAGTGAAGCAATCACGGGCCCTTTAATCCTAAAATCCTAAATATAGGCTCGTGTGTTTTTTCACAGAGCAGAAATCAATCACAGCTCCATTCACACTGGTGAGATGAAGTGTCCCAGTTCACAGGACTGACACAGACATGATGATGATGATGATGATGATGAGGATGTAGGATCACTGTGAACACCAGAAACCTGGCTGGAATTTGATTCATTTAAAATCTGAGTGGGGCCACATGGATCCAGAGTCCTTGAAGAAACAGTTAAACCCAATCAATCAAAATGTGAAGATACAACAGTTTAAAATTTACCCTGCAGTGTGAAATGTTTTTAAATTTTTTGGACAATTTTGTGGCTAAAGTCAGTTTTTAAATTTGGCTTTTTTAAGTGAGGTGGAAACACACACTGTTTAGGTTTAAACCTAATAAACAAAATGATTTATCAAATTTCTTATTATTTCTTACTATATAGATTAACAATTTTAATAGAATAATAATGAATAATAATAATAAAATACAAACAGATAAATAAATATTTCAAAATAATGTACAGTTGTATAATTTTCTATATTTTCTTATACAGGTTTAAAAAATGTTTTAATTTTTATTCATGTTTTCTACATATTTTCAAAAAAATTTCCTGAAATGTTTTTAGTTGCTATTACATGATTATAGATCTTAAAAATATTAATGCTGAAAAATTCCTAAATCTAAAAACAACAAGAAAAGAAAATCTTGAAAATGTTTAAAGATTAAAAAAAATATTTTCACCATCTCATATCTGTGTGTAAAAACATTCTTCTGAATAATTTATAAAGGGGAGGGATTATGGATATGAGTTCCCTGTGATCTTGTACATAATCCTGTTTTTAACACCTCCTCCCCCAAATATTCTGTTCAAACTGCCTGACATGAATTCAAATTTTCACTTTACGTCTGTCTCACACACACTAACATTAAAACACAGACCTCAACAACACTCACATATGCACAAGGCAGAACTGAAGAGTTGATTTCTCTTTCTCTTTTTTTGCCTGTTTTTGTTTTGTTCTTTACTGTAAAGACACATTTATAATTTTCTGTCTTTTTTCCAAATGCAGGCAAATATATTTCATACACAGACACACACACACACACACACACACACAGCTACACCCCCACATTTTCATTCAGGGATGCTCTGCAGTACAATGCTGCAAAGGATTATGGGGCAACAGTGAGGCTCTCTTTGCAGGGTGTGTGTGTGTGTGTGTTTGTGTCTTGTGACTGTGGTGACTGTTTGTAACTGTCACTTAAAGAGGGAGAGACAATTGAACCCTTTCTTTCTTTCTTTCTTTCTTTCTTTCTTTCTTTCTTTCTTCTGGAGCATTTCAAAGACAGAATAAATTCATCAATTCATCTCAGTATATTTTGAACGTATCTTATGTGGATTCATACATAGATATTTGCCAGTTGAGTTAGACGTTATAAATGATCATCCTTTAGGTTTTATTGAAGGTTTTTAACACAAGTAATTTTTTTTTTTTTACAGATGAATAGAAACAGATTGAAATGCAACCAACGCTGCTTTTTTTATTTAAATTCAATTTTAAGTGCTGTAGCCGCTAACCATATTAGCAAAATAACATTTACTCAAATTCACTGCATTAAACTAACTGAACTAGATTCTTATTGATTTTACAATTACACAGTTTGTAAAACATATAAGTAACTGAACTGAATGAAATAGCTTGTTAGCTAATTGGATTTTTTGTGAACTTCCTGTGCATACGCTCTGCCCAAAGTCTGCCACAAAAGATGAAAATTTTCAACGCACTCAAAGCAAATTCCAGAAAAAAATGGAAGGAGGACTTTTGAAAACACATTAGAGATCACTGAGGTTTTCATAGGAATGAATGGACGGTGGTTGACTCGTACATGTACACAGAGCGATGTGGGAACGAGGCATTGGTTCTCAGCAGCGGAGTCCACCGTTCTCGCACTCCAATGGGATCAACAGGAAATTGCACGTGATTGTTATCAGCCTCACTGTTTACAGTTTACTCAAGCCGCATCAGAGCTGCTAATGCTAACCCAACATTTCTTTCTGCTGCAGTCAGTCACAGGACCCATTTCTCGGCCGCATTTGAAGGAGTCTTCGAAACGGGACAGCCTTTAGTGCCCATATTTCCTACATCTTGATTGGTTGACAGAGGCATACAACCACGAGCCAGACAGACCAAAAAGTGATTTATCGACTGGTCAACAGCCACAAAATCACATTATGGAGGAGCTGTTTTTTGTCTATTTAATGTTGTAGCACTCTCATGAATTGGTGGAATCTCACTGTGGTACATTATTCCACATTTTCATTTGATTACTTTGTTGGAAACAAACTGCTTTAAAACATTTGAAACATACTTAGTTGATTGGAAACCTACTTACATGTACCTCATCTTGGCTCCAGACCAGACTCCATTAAAAACTAAATAAAAAATAAAATCGATTCTCTACTTAAGTTAATTTCAGTTCAGCAGTGGCTGCAGGTCGAGACAGAGTGAAACCGGTTTCTGTGTCGGTAAATCTGACATGACGTCACAGCGAGAGGAAAATACAGGTGACACACAGATTACACTCGTAATCTGATCTCCCTCTTCATATATTCCCACAGGAAAGTTCATCTCTGTTTCTGTTTTTCTTTCTGTTGTAATCCACTCTCTTGCATCTCTCTGCCCTTTGTAGCTGAGCTTCCAGTATTTTTACTTTCATTTGTTGATGTGACAAATGAAAGATTTGATTTTGAAAAAGGTTTTCACACTCTCACTGTATTTTAGTATTGTCCTCATGGTGGATCTTCATGGAAACATATTACCGGAGTCACATTACAAAATACATTTTACAAGTGTTTATTGTTTTTGTTGTCATTTACATGTCTGTCCATTACGTGTACCCTTCGTGTCACACTTGTTTTTGTTATGCAAAGTCACTAAAGTGTAACATTTAATTATGTTTTGTCATATTTCACACTGTCATTTCATTTATATTCACTTATGCATCAGTAGTTTTATTGCATTATGAGTACATTTGTTAAAGATACATGCTAATTTCTCCAGTTTATTCATAGACATACAGGCAGAAACTGTTGTTAACCTGTCATCAGCTTTGCTGTGTATTGATGAAACCAGGACGCTGTCCGTGGTGCTGAAGTAAAACACGGATTTATACAAACTCCTCATTTCATATTAAATCGTCTCTAAAGAAAATATCAAGAGCTCTCAGGTCATTTTAAGAGACATATTGTCGCAATGTTCAGAGCGACCTCGGCTTCCTGAAGTAGTGAAGTAACCATCTTTGATTTCCATTACTACGGCAACACGTTTGAATGTAAACGAGCGCTGTAGACGTCTCTTCAACCGTCGCTGCAGCTGGTGAATTTAGCAGCTAAAGAGCCAGAGGTTTCCCTCCGGAGCTGGTGGAGACCAAACACAGAGCTAAAAGAGAGGCTGTTGTTAAATTCCTCAGGCGGACACGAACACAAGACTACATGAATGAAAAGCTAACTGAATGTGTAACCAACTGTTGACTAGCTGCCATATTAACTTAAAAAGCTACGACCTGTCAGTGTTGGGCTCAGAAAAATATATTTGAAAAATTGGTTAGTAAAATTTCAGGTAAAATTCTGGATTTTGCACAATTAAAGACTATTTAAAAGTACTGTGTGGGAACCTCTTGAGCTTATTTGAATTTAAAAAAAAAAAATTCAAGTACCAATCTATAACTTTTGTTCCTTTGTAGTTGTTTTACATCTAAATTGTGGTTGTTTTGTGTCTCTTTGTGCTTATTTTACAGCCCTTTGGTTTTGCTTTGCATCTGTCTGTGGTCATTTTGCAACGTGTCATCTACATTTTGTGTCTCTTTGTCGTCATTTTGTATCTTTCCCTTTCCATTTGTTTCTTTTTGTAGTTGTTTTGCAATGCGTTGTTGTTGTTTCATGTCTCTTCATAGTCATTTTATGTTTCTTTGCAGTTGTTTGATTGACTTTCCTACAAGAAATATTAAGTGTCACAGAGGCCCCTCCTCCCTTGTATCGCTCCCTGTTCAGTTTTCCATCCATATATATACAAATATAGATGTATGTATTTGTAAAATTCAGACAGGATCAGCCCAGTTTCTGTTCACAGACGTGACGTACCTCTTGTCACTGTTAGCACTCAGGATGCTAACGTGCAGTACATGCAGGCCTGATAGCACGCACACACACACACACACACGCACACACACATTTGTATTTGCTCTAAAGCTGAGGTGGATGAGTTTGTGCCTTCATTCATTCATCCTCCCATCCACCCTTGTTCATTCTGCAGTCTAGCCATCCTCGTTTCCTCCATCCTTCCTCTCTCCACTCTTCCCTCCCTCCCACCATGCTACAGATGCTGCTGTCATCCCCAAACATTCCTCCAGCCCTCCATCCCTCCATCATCCATCCATCCATCCATCCAGCTATCGATCCATCCACCCATCTATATCTGTCCCTCTATCCTCTCGTCCCCCCAAAAAAGAAAGCTAGCACTCACCATGTTTTCCTAAGACGCAGGAGATGAGTGTGAGTTTCTGTTTTCCAGCCTGAAGCCACCGCGTCATGATAGCGTCTTGTTTGCTCCCTCTCCTCTCCTGTGTATGTGTGGGAGGGGGGAGGATATCATCGTCACGGCAACACCAGCAGCTTGCAGCAGCAGCACCACCAGACTGAGGGGAGGGGGGGGTTGCCATCCATCGGGCCTTGCTGCATCATCCACCAATCACGAGCAAGAGAGTTTAGAAAAGGAGAGAGGTGATTCGTCCATCTGTCTGTCAGTTATCCAATGGTGTGGGCATTTTATTCTCTCTCTCTCTCTCTCTCTATTTATCCCAATGTCTCTCTCCCGTCTGATGTCACTTGTATCAGCTCAGTATGTAGTGAGTTAATATTGCATCAAAACAATTCTGCATTAAATATAGTTAACAAACACATGATTATTAAATACATGGAGTAAGATACATAATATGTTGATTTTAAAATGATGCCTTTATAATTCTTTATTGTTGATTTAATAAATGAATAACATGTATTTTGTCTCTTTGTCAATTCTTTTTTTTCACATCCTTTCTTTTTTTTTCTTGCCACAACTTGTGTTTATGTTCATTAACTTCTAACTCATTGTTATTATTTCTCCCTCAATTGGTTAATATCACTATATTTACATTTATTATTATGTTGTTGTTTTTTGTGTAATTGTCATGAATTATGTTGTATAAACAAATATGTAAAGATTAATTACAATTGTGTTTACATTAAAATAATAATATTTTTTCTTGGTCATGGCATGTTTATATCAATATTTACAATAATTATGGAATATCACATTTTACAGGATTATCTATAGTCATAACTAGTCTATTAAAGTTCATCTAAAAAGAAAAAAAAACATAATTAAATTGTAAATGAATGCAGGTTTAATAAACAGAATTTATATGGGTTCACCCTCCGGACCAGCAGGTGGAGGTAGCGCGCCAGAAACCAGTTCAGCTTCCGCCATGATGGAACAAAACGCAGCACGAACTCGCCTACGAATCATTTGTAGCTGGAGGAGCTGGAGGTTTGTTGGCGCCAAAAACCGCTGCTGATTTTAACGGTAAATATGGTTTAAATGTTCACTTTAATCCTCAAATGTAAAGTTGTACTTATCGTTCACAGTGTGTGGAAGTGTTAGCTGCCGATATTTACCACAGATGAGGAGTTTATTTAACGGATGGTCGAGGATTGTTATAGCGCCTAAGTTTTTCTCCACGTTGTAGTTCCCCCACAGAAATACTCTTGTCGTCGAGTTTATAATCTTCTTAACATTTATCTCTCAGGTAAACGTTAAATTACAGTCAACGTAGTTACTGTAAATGAATTTAAACAAAGTGACAGTGTTAACATGGTTACAGTTTGCTTCAGTTGCTGTACCTTGTGACTGAAGCAGTGAAGCTGTACAACAGAACCGAGTTTAGGGTTAATAAGAAAAAAAGAAATGAGTAACAGCAAAGTGGTTTCATTAGCTGAACACGTGGTGAAGGCGGCGAACTGCTGAATGCAATTCAGTTAATACTGAACAGAAATATAGGATCATGAATATTAAACTTATATCTAATATCTTATTGAAGGCTTGAGAATACATATAAAACCCTTATATTTCCTCCATTCGTGTCTGTCACTGTCTGTCCATCAGTCAGCTTTTTGTCTATTTTTAACCAATCTATTTGCTTCTTTAATTCAATTATTTTTTCTTTAAAGTATGACTATTGAATTTCTTTCAAATTTGGTAATTTATACCTGGGGAAAATCTATCACATTATTTAAGAAGTCAGACATCTTTAAATTGTTTTGTCAAAATATAAAGATACTTAGTTGGTAATATAAAACAGACACAAAAAATGCTTGTCCTTACATTTGAGAAGCTGAGTTTATTTTTGCATGAATGATGGGTAATGGACTAAAAGAATTGCCGATTGGTGGTTTCCCGCGCTGTGATGACGACTTTTCCTGCCATTCGTAGTTTCCACCAGAGGTCTAAAGACCAAAGATGGTCCAAACCTTCCTTGGATGTCTGAGCGTGTGTCACCCACTCAAAATGGCTCATCAGTTTGTCTGTAATGTCCAGGTTAACCCATGTTTCCCCCAATTTCTATATCACTAAAGTGAAGCATGTTCTTCTAGGACAAATCGAGAAATTAAAACCTTTCTGATTTGAGCAAAGTTAGTTTAAAAGAAATTGAAAAAAACTGCAGCTGCTAATAAAATGAATAATGGTAACTTGGTTTATTTATTAATTAAGGCCCCCCCTCACCCTGCTGCTAAAAGTATTGATAACAATTAGAAAAGGAAACTGCCATCCTTATCTAAACATATGAAATGAGGCACATGATGTACAGGTACCTCCCTGACCTTTTGTTGTGCACTGAATTTATTTCAAATGAGAAGTTTGCTCCCTTTCTTAACGCTATATATCTGTCTCAACAGGTTTACACTGTAAATCGGTCACCACGGAGAATGAGCATCGCAGACAAGATGGATGACATGACTAATTCCTCAAGAGCGAGAAGCAGAAATGGTTCAGTTCCACTGAACCTGGGGAGAGGTGAGAAGTTCTGTTTACTGAGTTGTTTCTGTTAGAGACAAGTTCTCAATCTGGACATTTCTGGGGCAGCACAACAAAAGATGAGTGGGTTATTGTGGATAATAGTATGTTTTTAATAAGTTTCAAAGCTGCTTTTCTGCTCAGTCTGCTAATCTTTTTTTGATCAATTGATGTTTTGTTTGCTCCATTGAAAGTGAACAGAAATGTCTTGTTTTGTGTGACTAGCAGTCCAAAATCCTAAAATATTCAAGTAGAGAAGCAGCTAACCCTCACATTATGTCGAACCAGTACAATTTGGCTTTTCAAATATGAACCGACTGTCATTTCATCAATCATCAAAATAGTTGCCAGTCGGCTGTTTTTGTTTTATCAACCAGGTCTTTTCAGCTCTAATTCTAAAGTTGTTTTCGCTGTGATGACATTATTTCCTGCCATTCGTAGTTTCCACCAGAGGTCGACAGACCAATGACGGTCCAATCCTTCCTTGGATGTCTGAGCGAAATTATAAAAGTCCTACTTGTCCCTTTTTAAGGTCTCTTTGCTTTCAGAACTAACTCTGACTCCATCTCACTTTCAGGGTGAACGTCTCTGTGGCGGCGCTGTCATGTCCATCAAAGATGAATCAACAGAATCGTGATCGGTGGTGACGGTCAAAGTCTGTGAACCTGGTACGTGTATTTTATGATAATATACATCTGTTCTATGAAGTCCTGGTCGCTGTGATGATGCCTTTTCCTGCCATTCGTAGTTTCCACCAGAGGTCGTTAGACCAAAGACGGTCCAATCCTTCCTTGGATGTCTGAGCGACGGAAGGGAATAAAGATTAATTTGTCTGTGAACCTCCATAACTAAATGAATCCCAATTCTCACTCTCAGGCTGGCTGTGAAAAAACATCTGGAGGTCTGATCTGGTTCTGATGGGGCTTTTTCTTTCATCATGGCCAAGTCCAAAGGAACCCTGATGACTTTTGAAGACATCATATAGGTGTGTATATCTGAAACATAACCACATGGCATCCTTGTAGAAGCAGCCTTACTTTATTTAATCAGGTTAGTTTCTTGATGACATTTGAAATATTTTTTGGAGAGAAACCTGGCCAAGAAGGAAGCACTGCGTTGCAACAATAAAATGAAGAGTATTAAAAAGTTAAGACACGTTTTGTTGTTTTTATAAAACAGTATCTTGTGGCAGCTTCTCAGATGTGAGGATTTCAGTTGTTTGATTTCTTTTTCCGGATATGTCGGTTTTAAGGTGTTGAATACATCTTCTCAGGCTTTGGGAAAATGAATGCCAATAATAATTAGTTGCAGACCTAAGTGACAAAACATCTTCTGCCACTACTCATCAGTAAAAATAAGTCAGCCGTGATCAGTTTTCCTGCTTCCCACACTTCGCTGTGATGACATTATTTCCTGCCATTCGTAGTTTCCACCAGAGGTCGGCAGACCAAAGATGGTCCAATCCTTCCTTGGATGTCTGAGCGAATTAAAAGTGACTATAATCTGTTCTGTGCGTGTTTTTTTTTTTTTTTAGCTTCACAACTAACTTCATGTCACTTTCAGGGTGAAGGTCTCCACTGGGTGTGCTCCTGTTCGGTCGAAGAAAGCATCATCCGTGATCATGGTAATATTCAGGTACATATTTTTACAGTATATTTGAGTTTGTGTGCCCAGTTCGCTGTGATGATGCCTTTTCCTGCCATTCGTAGTTTCCACCAGAGGTCGTAAGACCAAAGATGGTTCAATCCTTCCTTGGATGTCTGAGCGAATTCTGATCTAGTTGTGTTCACTGCCTCCAAGTTTTGTCGCTTCTTGCTCATGTTTATTTCTTCCAACAGGTGGAGAGACGAGGAGCTGCAGTGCATCCGTTTCTCAACTCGAGAGGATTTTTCCACATCGCAGCATTAAAGTTTTTTTTTTTTTTTTTAAATTTCTAAAGATCCAACTGTTAACTGATGAAGAATTATACTTTTATTTTATTGTATTTCAATCGTACTTTGTCTGGAATAGACAAGGTATAAATTGTTTCCTTGATATAATGGGATTGTTCCGGATTTTTTTTTTTCTCAACACTGACTATAAATGTAATGAACTGCCATTTGGTTTCAACAAACTTTTTTTTTTTTTTTTTTTAAATAAATTTGTGAATGAACTTAATCCTGTCTCATCAGTGCCTTGAAGTAAATCTCATTTTAATCACTTTCAGAGCAAAAAGGAGGGAACTACCCAGTATTAGTGTGGTGTTACTAATACATTTATTCAATGCAAGTATGTATAAGGGCCACATTGAGGGGGGAAAAAATCTGAAATTGAGAAATCATAATTTTGAGTCATTAAGAGGATGAAGTCCATTCTACTAGAACTTGTATTACAAGAATAAAAACATAATTTTATAAGAGAATAAAGTGGTAATTTTAGGCTACGTGATTTAGAGGGGAAATATCAGAAGAACTTTACAATGAATGTGGAGTTATACATACACTAGTTGTACATTATATACATTATTTATACATTGTCACAAGTGGCCCTTATCGTCTTCTGTACCTGTAACGTGTATGAATGGAGCAGGCTATTGTAGGTGTGAAGTTTGACCCTCCTGGCCTCCCGTACACGCTGCGTCTCGGAGCAGCTGTGAAGAGGCTGCTGTCAACGCGGTGCTAACCTAGCTGCCGGCCGTCGGCTAGCTGGCACCGGGAGAGGATATAAAAACAAACAATGGCGGGCGTGCACCCACAAGTAAGTGAACACGAGTTAATAATTAAGCTCTTCACATACTGAACTGTCACGGTTTATTTTTTTTATCGTATAAATGAACAAAAACGGCGGTTAACGGTAACTAACGGTTCCTTAGCTAGCTAGCTAACTAGCTAGCTGCCAGGTCCAGCTCAGCTGTGAGCGAGCTGTCGGTCCTCTGGCTGTTCCTGTTTCAACGTGGCAACACAGGCACGTTATCAAAGATATGAACCGCGTGTTTTCTTTATACATTACGATTTGCTTTATATTATTAACGAGACGATGCGTATCTTGCCGTTACGCACACAGCTGTGTTAACCCACATGTAACTGTCCACTGAGAGCTGCTATTTCTGTCCTCGCCCCTCTTTATTATAGGACGACCTGCTGAAGATGACACACAGAGAGAACTGGAAGTGAGCACTGTTTCTTTTTTCACACCTAAAGTAATAATAATAAAGAGCATAAATACACACACTGGAATATGAAATTAAATGCAGCATTTTCCTCTCAGCTCATCTTCAACCCTGACCCCCTTTTGTGTTTTTCTGCATCTCTTTTCTTTCTCCACCCCACTCCCCTTGTTTGCCTCTTGGCAGGGTGCAGCATGAGCGACTGCATGTGAAGCACAGGGGGCACGAAGCCATGCATGCGGAGATGGTGCTGATCCTCATCGCCACGCTGGTGGTGGCTCAGATCGTCCTGGTGCAGTGGAAGCAGCGGCACCACCGGTCGTACAATGTGAGTGGTGACGGTGCAGGAGAGGAAACTGACATTAGGGAGGGATGTAAATAAAAAGTATAGTTTTAAGTAAACATTGAGCATATTAAACCATCTGTCTCCTCCACAGCTGGTGACTCTGGTCCAGATGTGGGTGGTCCCTCTTTACTTCACCATCAAACTGTACTGGTGGAGGTTTCTGTCCATGTGGGGAATGTTCTCTGTCGTCACCAGCTACGTCATTTTCAGAGCCACTCGCAAGCCCCTGTCCTGCAGGACGCCGAGGTAGGAGAAGTGATTCCTGACACCACAAGCTTCCTGACGTTCTTTACTTTATCTGTGCTGCTGCCACGTGTGTTTTTATCTTTTAATTTGAATGTCTTCAAGATTTAAGCAGAAATTAAAAGCACTTTTTCTTAATAAACACTGGGTTCGTTATAGAGCTGAAATTGATCAACTGAAAAATAATCAACAATTTTCTCACATTTCTCACCAAACGATTTATCAAGAAAATAATTGGAAGATTAAACAATGATAAAAAAAAGAATTGAGTTGCAGCCCTAGTGCTTTCCAAACTTGAAATAGAACTGCAACAATTAATTGATTGTTGCTTACGTGAATCAGCCAGACGTTTCCATGTCTTAGCTTTATTGTAGACTTATTATATATGGATTTTGAACTGTTGATTGGACATTAGATTACTTTTTAGACCAAATAATCAACTGAGAAAATAATCTGCAGATTAGTGGATAATGGAAATAACTGTTACTTGTGTCCCTAGTTCCTACATATTTGGAGCTGCAAGCAATTCAGAACTAGTTCTTGGTAAATTAGCTCCATCAATTACTGCAACTGTATTGGTATTTGTTTGTTACAGTATTATATGTATTGATTGTATTCTCACTGTTCTGCTATTTAGGATGGTGTACAAGTGGTTCCTGTTGATCTACAAGCTGAGCTATGCAGTGGGCGTCCTGGGCTACTTGGCCATCATGTTCACCATGTTTGGCTTCAACGTCTTCTTCAGGTCAGCCGCTACTGACACGCACAATAAGCCTAGAATATTTTGTAACTCTGTTTTAGGGGGAAGGGGTGTTAAAGTACTGGCACAAAACTAAAGACAAACAGATTTGTCTGTGACTGTTTGGTGCAGATTCACAACTGAAACCTGCAATAAAACATGCTTTAAATTCAAGTATGTGGTCATTACACTTTGGTGTCTGCACTTTAACAGCTCTTTGGCTGGCTCAGCAGTTAAACAGTAGATCTCTCTTCAGTTGCTGGATATGTATGGCCAAGCAGAGTCTTTACAGATACTCAGTGGAAGTCACTTGTGTCAATTGAATGTTTCAATTAAGCGCAATTTATATGAGCTTCATTTGTGAGACATTAATTATTTATGCGTACTAAGAGACAACTTCTCTTTCTTTCTGTGTAGGATCAAGGCAGAGGACTCTATGGACGTAGGAGTAATCATGCTGTTTTATGGTCTTTACTACGGCGTCATGGGCAGAGACTTTGCTGAAATCTGTTCTGACTACATGGCCTCTACAATCGGGGTAAAACACTGATTCCTCATGAAAAATGACTCAACATTTCCATGCTAGTATATTTAAAAAATAATACGTGTCAAATGTGAACTTAGCACCCAAGATTGGCACTCCATCTCTGGGTTATAACAAATGAAACATACATTTTTGGCTTCAGTGCGATTCACACCTCCAGAAGATATCATCTCTGATGTCTATTAAGAAATATGATAAAATCTGAAAAAATGTGATCATTATAACCCCAGAACTTGCCTGAGAATCATTTTGTTTTTAAGTAAACCGGTCATAGCTGTCTATGCGTCCATTGCTACACTGTAAACAGGAAATGTAATAACTGATTCGGCACACTTTTAATGGTGTCAAATTGCCAAAATGAAAACTTGATATAAGTTGTAGTCCACTGTTGTAACTCACTGCATCCACGCCAAGATCATATTTCCTGTTTACAGCCCCCAAATTAGAGCAAGATTGTCCCCTAAGTAAAAGTATGTCAAAGATGAATCATAATAGGAATGACAAAATGCATGCATTTTACTTTTTCATGTTTTCAACATTATTATTATTACAGATTACAGAATACACTATTTCCCCATGTTTAAAATCTGTGGACATTCCTCTAACTGTATTAAATAAATACACTGTTGTTCTTGTATGTGTGCGTTTCCAGTACTACAACAAGGGAGGCATGCCCAGCAGGAGCCTGACCAACGACATCTGCGCCGTGTGCGGTCAGAAGATCCTGGTGGACGTGGAGGAGGAAGGATTTATAGAAGACACCTACCAGCTGTCCTGTGGACACTTGTATCCTAAAGCTGCAGGAAGAAAAACACTTTTTTCTGCTGCTATCTTTTGTCTGCTGAAGTACTGTGAGCTACTTCTCCAAAAACAGACAAATACTTTTCTCTTCCACTGTAAAAACACTCATATCTTTTTCAACAGTAAAGTTATTTTTGTGTTCCAAAATATATGGCAATAGCCAAATACACTTTTATTTTTAGTTTTTCTGCCTTAACTTGCCCCGCCCCTTCAGGTTCCATGAGTTCTGCATCCGTGGCTGGTGCATCGTGGGTAAGAAGCAGACCTGTCCGTACTGCAACGAGAAGGTTGACTTGAAGAGGATGATGAACAACCCGTATCCTTCTGTTGTCCCTGTGTGGTAGGCTCAGTGATGGGGAACTGATTTGCTCTGTGGGTCAGTTTGTTAATAACTTATTTCACTTCATGTATTCATTTATTATTAGATTAAACACAAAAACTAAACAAAAATAAAACATAATGTGCACCATACTTAATTTTTATATAATGTATAACTATACTTTATACCCTTAAACTTGTTCATAGATCACCGCTCATCTATCTGAACACACTCCTTAATTCCTTTTTCCCAGCTGGGAGAAGACACATGTCCTCTATGGGCAGTTGCTTGACTGGCTCAGATACCTGGTTGCCTGGCAACCCATCATCATCGGTATCGTTCATGGGATTAACTTCACACTGGGCCTTGAATAGAGCCCAGAGGAGCGCCTCCGTAAGTACGTCTGGAGTCGAGTAAAGTGCGAGAAACGTTTGGCAGCGAACTGTCAAAGTCAGCGCGACGAGGAACTGACTCGGGCTGCTTCTGTAGTCTTTTGTTTCTTCACTACTTGTTCTTGGACTGAACGCTTGCAAACTTCCCTGCAGAGCGACCCCAGGTGGCCTTGGGTCTCTGTGTGCAGAGGACACCTTGATCCTGAAACTGCTGCCAACTTGAACAGAAATATTTAAGCACAGATCAAGTATTTGATCTTTTTGAAATCTTTGACGCGAGAGAAAGATGTGTCTAGTTTGGAACTTATGGAAACACTGTTTCATGCATGTTGATTTTGTTGAGATAAACCGTTGCTTTACTTTGTACTGTCATAAAAATGCCTTTATTTTATTTCATTTTTTTGCACTCCTCACTGCTGGGTCTGTTGACACCACTAACAAGTTTCTACTCAAACTCTTCTTTTATGAAACTTCATCTGCATTTTGAAAGCTGCAGCTCTTTGCACTTTGATTATGGAAAAGGACAATTCAGTCCAAATGTTTGTGGTACACATAAAACCTGTTTACATTTCATGTAAATTAGTTGTTTTTTTTACTTAAGTTTTATTTCAGTATCTTCTCATTTGTATGGAGCTAAAGTTGATGGTCAGTGGTCAGCTTGTCAGCTTGTAGCCGTTGAGTATATAGCAGGCAGTACGTTATTGGCGGTTCCAAACAAAGACAGTGCAGATGAACCTCCGTAATGTAAACCAGTGTAGAAGAGAGTGAAACTTCCCTTCAGGGATCAGTTTTAAGTATCGTGTTACAAAATGGGGGATAAAGATCAGAGAAGAGAGGTAGAGTGTACTCTTGGCTTACATGTGCCCCATAACTACAGTAGCCACACAAACATTCAATAATAGGAGTTTTAATGGGTTTTTATCAGATCCTTGAAATGTTTTCTGGTTCAACAGGAAGAAATCTTTCCTTTGCCAAATCAAGTAGATGTTGCTTTCTTATCCAGACTGCTGCTATTAACTTTGTACTGAATAAATCTAACTATAAATGTCCGTCAGTCTGTCTTTATTTCTTTCTGTGAAGGTTTTCAGATGAGCAATTCTGGAGAAACAAAAAGTGAAACGCTAAACAACAAGTCGGTTAGGACTGGAGCGGCGCATCCATGAAACTAATGTCATCGATAACGACAATGGCGAGTAGGAAATATGACTGGGCTAGTTTAAGCATGGATTCCCTGGAAAACAAGCAGCAGCTACAAAACCTAGCACAGGATCATCTAAAGTGTAGAAGTTTTAGACAGACCTAAGATCTGCAAACTGGAAATGGCTTAACACAGCCGTGCAACAACTTTGCACGGTCACTTGAAGCAAAAGCATA